CCCAGCAAAACCAGGAACAGCCCGTGAATACATCAACCACCCCAGCATACTAACACTAGAGAATTTTTAGCTATCACTTTACCCTCATTTCCACAATACACCTTAAACACCCCTCATGACGCTAACGAAACACGCAACTTTGTAGACGAATACGTTTTAATGCCCACTCTCTCTTGGACCTCATACTATCATTTCACTAACCCTCTTTGCTTACCTTTAACCAACACATCCATCGATATAGACCGAAACAAAGACATGCTATATCGACTAACTACACCACTCACCGCTAGACAATTTACTTACGTAGGATATAAAAAATCACTAAAAATACACACTGCACCTAGAGCTAATGAATATACACTAGAATACTACGATCACAACATCATCAGAGCTAACCAAGATCAATTCTTAGACGACGATCGCTTCGCTAACCCACAAATCACCGAGAAATTTTTCATCAAGACACTATATGTATTTACACTAAACATCTTCGACCGAAAGTTTGATCACATTATTTCAGAAGCACTAACAAGCACACAAGCGTACGAAAGTTTTAAAGAACGCTTCCAAATCTTTTCACTAACCTTTCATTTCCTTGCACCACACGAAAGAGATTTACACTGCTCACACGATATTATGTTGCGAACTAAACAAACACATACATACAGTTACTATCGTTTCATCCAAAATCACTTTGACCTCCACACACCCTCTAGACAACCACACCATCGCTTTCAATTCATCAATTCAAAATACACTTCACCGTATTTCCTAAATTTCACATATTGTATTAAAGATACTAACCTTCATGGTATTCTTCGTAACTATGACCCCATAACCCAAATGTACATTTTCTGCCCCATCACCAAGACCTTCAACGCCGAAGAATCCCGACCCTTCCTTATCCCGCACGAGTTTGTACAGCCTATAGAAATCCCCATTTTAGAATTCATCCACAACACTAAATTTAACCACAAATTATATAACTTAATCCAAAACACACCTTATGAGTTTGCAGTAGGCACTGAAGAACTAACCATTATTAAGGCACTTCAATTGCTTTGGCCACTGCTTCAAACTAAAAATATCATCCGCATCTTAGCTAAACTACTAACAACTTCAGAACTAGTTCACGATATCTTCCCCCACGGTTTTTTCCCCGACGACTAACAGGTAAGTATGAATTAAATGAATATTACTAACTAATTAAAATATTAAAAAACTCACCATTCTTTATTCATGTTTTCTTTAGATTTTTAGCCTTCATCTTCGATCATCTGAAAAATTCACAAAAGAAAAATAAAAAATAGCAAACTTCTTCAAAACTGTTTAAGACCCTTTTAACTTTTGCACCAACAATTAAATAAATATAATACCAATGCAGTAAATTAATTTATAAAATTTTCCCCCAAAGCAGTAAATCTACATATGATGAAAATTTGTATCTTAAAATTCCCCCATTACTAGCAGTAAATTTCCAAATTCTATGCAGTAAATTAATAAAATGCAATTGCAGTACTAACCTTTTGATATTTTCATTCATTCGCACAGAAATTCTATCCACACTCGCACAGCTCGCCCACGAAGAATTGTTTAAAATAATGAATTTCAGTTTCAAGTTTCCACACTCAACAATTCTAACATACAATAACATGTTTCAAACTTTCCTTTAACCCGGTTGGAAAGGAATCATATACTAAACAAAACTAACCAACGCAGCTTACTAAATACCACAAATCATAGAATAACAGCATGACTTAGAAAAGGAAACCAACGGTACCCAAACCGGATTAACCCAGTTTAAAACTGGATAATTTATTCTTTTGAAGACTATTACAAAGTCTTAGAAAGAAATAATAAAACACAAAAAAGTCGAAAGACAAACCCATACCACAAACAATTTGCTTTTTGGAAAAAGTACATAACCAACAAGACATAAGTAAAACCACAACAAACCCAACATAAAACGTTGTCACATAACAGGACCCCTCACAAACACCGCATGAAATCATACTCCCACTCCTGGCCTAACCCACCAGGAAAGGACGTCCTGAGCATGCTCTATAGCCGGCCTAACCCACCGCGCTACATCCACGCTTTGTGACCACACCTTTATTTTTAATAAGAGCTACTCAAGGGTGAGTAACTCTTCAAAATAACCGAACTAAAACAAAAAGCTTTTGTGAAAACAACTAACTAAAATCATTATTAAAAAATATATTAAACTAATAAAAGATTTATAAAATGTAAAATTACATGATGCAATATATAGATCAGAATACAACACCAAGGACGAACATCAAAAGACAAGACGACCTCACTACACTCGAGAGAGAATGACCAACTACAATCGATATGCCGCTCACAATCACAACTCAAAGGATTTAGAGTACGACTTGACTTCGCAGAAAAGGACTTCATTGAACTAGACCAATGACCACCTCGATGTTCAAGTATCGATGTTATAAGTATATCTCCACGCCATTCCCGAGCTAGATCAAACACAAAAGAAGTTCTCTCCGAAGAACAGAAAAACCTGACATAGCCAACCATTCTGAAACCAGAATTGATGCTGTTGCAGAGACTCAGTCGTTGTCACAAGAAGAACACAACGTCTTGTGTCCTCAATTCCAGATCCCTGGAACTTCCTTAACAAAAAGGAAACAAAAGAAAAATGATGTTCGCCAAATACCAACGTCCATCATCCATCCTTGAACTACAGAAGAACTGTTCTAAAAAACTCTGTAAAACCCGGATGGGTGGAACCTGATCTAAACTATATTTTATGATTGGATAAATTAAATGTTTTACCAATGTAAAGTATTTAATATTAACCAATCATGATCCATCTAACTAACAACCCACTTATTTGTAAGTGCTGAAGTTACTTGTAATTTCAGCACCAGAGAGATTTGAATTTAACTTAGAAATTAGTTGGACTCTCCCGAGCACTTCAGCAGCCGCAATAAACCAGTATACCCTAGATCTATTGAGCCTAGCAGAGACTAGTTAAACAACCTGAGACTAGATAGTATAAGAGTAAGATTAGGATCGGTATTAGACTAAGAAGTTGCACGAATCTATCCGGCCGAAAATAAGATAGCGTGACGAGCAGACGGTGTACCCTATCCGAAATTACTCTATGAGTTATACACCCCAGTCCTAACTCACATTTTCTATTCGCTAGCTTGCAATGTTACGCTTGCGTTGTATCGCAACTGATGCGATGCTCCGTTTTACTCCTTGGTAAATGTTTCCTGTGTTTTTTTGCATCTAAATTAATTCAATATATATATAATTGTTTTTTGGGACTTTTGATTTAACGTGGAAAAGTTTTGAAGGTTGCACTTGAGTGGTCGTAACTTTTTGCAGCAGATTTTGAAAATTGTACTATTTTAAACACACATGACTAACTTGACTTTGACCTCTTGAGTGTGAAAAGTGTTTCAAGCTTTCTGGTTTTAAGCTTAAATGAAAAGGCGCTTTTTGCCTTTGTTCGCTATTTGAAGAATCGATAGAGTCTTTGGGAGGCGCTTTTGTTAATGCAACACTGTTTGAAGTGGGATCAAGTTTATCTAAATAATATCTTATTGCTAATCTGATCCCTCTTGGTGCATACCTGACGCAGAGACAGTTGATTATAAAGTCCGCAATGCAATCCCAATGTAATCCAAGTGCAACACCAGCACAGGGGAGCAGTGTGGAGAAGGGGAGGTGGGCTGATGCCTCCTGCAACGGGCAGAGAGGGAAGGGAAGGGTAGCGTAGGAGGGTATCCATTTGAGCAGAAGAGGGGGCTTTTTGTTTGGACAGGCGAGATTAAACGGTACACAGTTGAGGGCTCTCTTGTCTACTTTTGTCTTTCCAACTGCGCCACGGGAGTTCAAAATTAAAATCGGTCGTCGCAAACACACAAAAAAGTCTTGAGGCAAACTGAAGTTTGCAACTGCTACTTTGTACCAAAGACACAACTGCCAAAGCGCTCTCTCTCTCTCTCTCTCTCAATGTTCATTGACTGCTGTTTCCTGTGTTAATCCTGTTTGCTTTTTCAAAATACAGCGCTCGATGAATGACCGAGGAAGAAGAGAAAGCAACAGTGGCTTTTATGAATAGTCCCTTTGAGAAGAGCAGCAGGCAAAAAGAAACTGGCTGAAGCGTGCTTGAGTTGGATTTCAAAACTACTGCTAATGAAAAATAAAACACAATGGCAGTTAAACTTTGAAAAGTCAATTGGATGTGAATGAAATGAACCAAATGGATTTTCACTTAAAGTTATTTCAAACTTGGCTCGAACTTCCTTATCCGAAGCTAAGGACCTGTCATTTAACTTAATGAGTTTGTTTACTGTTCATTTTAACTTCCTGTGTTTCCAATAACAATGTATGACACTGAAGAGAGTTCACTCTATAAGATGTCTCTTATTTTTGGCTTTAAATGGATTCGATTTTCATGATTCAGTTTCCAGTGTTACAACAATATCTTGAACGCAATTGAAGAAGGTCAGTGGTTCGAGGCTCACAATGATCCTCCGTGCTTGCTGCTTGAGAGTGAGGCAACATTTACGGCAACATTTACCAGAGGCTCAGCAGCGGTTCTCCGTGAAGAACTGAACAGCTGATATGTTTTTACCTTGTGTTAAAATTGTCTGAACTCAACTGAATTAAACAGTGCTTTTCACAAGTAGAGCAAAGTAGTCTAAGATAAGTCTGCTAATGATGAGAGAAGTTTCTGTAACATTGATAGTGTGTAGAAACGTGAAAGTGTATATGATTCGTACATTCCGAAGAATCTGTGGATGCGTGCTTAATCAGAGGTGCCGCTGGTATCGTAAATTGCTTTGAATAATACGAAAAGTATTCAGGAAGATAGCATTCACATTTTTTGTACATTGGAACTTATTTAAAATGCTATCATGTCACATCATCATCACAGATAAATGCTATTGTGGTTTTGGTTCGTTGAATGCTGCTGAGAGTAGAATGTGTTCTTTTCGTTGTTTCAGTTTGAGTTCAAGACGAAGGCAGTGAAGAAGAAGAAGGTGAAGATAGTGGTCAGCATCAACGGGGTCACGGTCACTGTGCGCAAGAAGAAAAAGGTCAGCACAGCCTGTGTTTGAGTGCTTAACAGCAAAGTGAATATCCACATATTTGGGTCGGCTGATTCGCTTTGTTGTCATATTAAAGTCTCACTTATTTAGGTCACATTCAAGTTTTTATTTGGAGGTTTGATTTTTCATTTCTCAAGTTCTATTCAATTTTCCTGTACTAAACGGAAGGCAACTTAAGCTCACCATACAAACGTGAAAATGATGGGAAAAAATTGGACTTGGCCTTCAGTTTTACACAAGCTAGCCCCCATAACATCAGCCTCCATAACATCAGCCCCCTTTTTCAGCTCAAGTCGCCCAGTTTTATGCAAAGATTTTGCGTTAATTAACAGCATATCTATCTACAGCAGATCCGAATTGTTATAGCGCATTTTTTTTTGTTTTCGGATCAATTGATGTCAAACAAGTGTTGTTAGCTTAGTGAACACTCGGAAAACACCAAAAGCTTTTTTGATACTTGCGGTTGTATTTTTTTTGACTCCATTTTAGTTATTTCCATCTTACTGACTATTTGGTAGCTTGCTATGCTACGCTTTTGTGGTTTTGCTATTGATGCGAAGCCACGCTTTGAATCTGTGTGAAAGTTGGGCTCGTCACGTCTTGATTGCAAAGATGGATTTTCGAACTAACAGAGCAGGTACCTATAAAAGAAACACTCATTAGTAATCCTGATTTCTCGGAATCCTTCGGAAAAATGATCTTCAAATTTGCTGAAACTTCCAGTCTCAGAAGGTTTTCGACTGCAAATTGAATACCTGAGATAAAAACACTTGCGAGAGCAAGTGTCTTGTAATCGGGAACTCGACTGTTTACCCGAAGCAACTTTTGTTACAAATTTTCGGTAAAAAAAATGAAAAAATTTTCGGTAAAAATCGGATTGTCGGACTTTCGTATGCCTGCACAAATTTTGTCGGCTTAGTTGTCACATCACAGTATTTGCTAGTGCTATAAGAATTTTACTTGTAGATGCAAGTTCAAGTTTTGTCCATGGTAGTTTTAGGAGGGACTTGAAACGATTTTTTTATAAAAAAAAGTTTTTCGGCCTGGTTTCCTCTTCGTAATTTTTGCTTCGGTGCTTATTTAATATTTATATGTCTTGCATGTTTGCCGACAGGGGCGGATTTAGGGGAGAAGCGGACGCCCCCCTCGGGGATTTGACCCCCTGCCGACCCAAAGGGTCCCCTTTTGTTCTATTTTGAAATATCCATATTTGGTGACGGGCCCTAGAAATTTTCTAAAGGCGATATATACTAATTTTTTGGTCAAATTATATATATATATATAACGCAATTTTTTGGTCAAAATTTTCCTTAAAGTGCCTAAAAACGCCTTTTTTGCCCGTTTTCAAAAATTTTGCATGCAGCGCACAAAAGTTTACCAAAACGGTCTTTTCAGTGCTTTGGGAGAGCTCGGAAATTCACTTTGGTCGACCTAAAAAAGACTTGAAAGTTTGCCCCCTCCCTCTAGAAAATCCTAGATCCGCCTCTGTTTGCCGAGAATGAATTTCTGTCGAGACATACGAAAATTTTGTGTTTGATAGGCCTAGTTTTTCAATTTTTTTTTTTCATTTTTTGTGGACTTGAATTTTTCAAAAACCTGAAAACAGTGGGCGAAGAGATGAGTTAAAAATTGAGAATTTATCATGTTTGTAGGGCACGGAAACAGAAGATACGCAAGACACGGAGGAAGAGAACTCACATCGGTATGATGATGTAAGTACCAGTTATATCACCATTCGTGCGGCCCATTATTTTTCTCGAGTGGCAGCAAAGTCTGTCTCAGTAGTGAATATACATACTAGTTTATGTTTTAGAAGAGCTTTAGAAGCTGGGATGACAGTCAGATGATTCTTCTCCAGCATCCAATTCACAGGTGAGTCACCCAATTTTATTTCTATAATGTTGCACCTCAGTTTCGATTTGCCCATAATAGTGGCCTATGAGGGCTCTTGCGATGCATGCATACTTGGCTGAAAACTGCCACTGGCACAGAAACTAATCTGGTTTATCAGCCGCCTTCACTCAATTGTATCTGGATGCATTGATAGATGAGACACGTCTACCATAGAGCTGACTCAATAAAACGTAAACGAACAGAAATAAGACTGCATTGGATAATTCTTTTGTGTTTTGTGCAGAGTGTTCTACGTGTCGCACGACTCCCAGGACCTGAAGGTGTTCAGCTACATCTGCAAGGACAAGGACACCGGAGTGGAACACGTGAAGAGCTTCAAGTGCAACGTGTTCAAGTCCTACAAGAAGGTAAGTTGGAGAAACAAATTTAGAGCATAGGAAACATTTGTGAGATGTTCTTTGTACGAAGAGTATGGAAGGCCTTCAAAGTCAAATAGTCTAGCTAAAAGCCTCATGCCAGAACTTATAGCTTAAATTGAATTATTTTTTGATACAATTACAATCAAAAATCTACCTTGGGTTTCCCTTGGGCCTCTTGTTCAATGCATATCAAATATCCCTTCAATGTTTCTCTGAAACTGAGTGACCCATGTTATTTATTTTGTTGTGTTTTGTTTGTAGAGCCAGGCGATGCGGATAGTGCGTACAATAGGACAGGCGTTCGAGGTGTGCCACAGATACCACACTGCCACCTCCAGAGACGGCTCAGAGATCGATCACGCCTCCTCAGTCAGATACCAGGAGTCCATCGATGGTGAGTGAACAAAACAAGACACACACTTCATATTTACACACATCCCATCTGTCGCTCATAAAGTACAGTGCTGATTTAAATTAGCAGACGAAACGCAATAAACTTGAAATTTAAAGCGCGTTTTTGTCAAATTGGGTTGCTTTCAGACAAAAAATTGTCGCAGACAATTGTTTGCTTGGAGTTTTAGCAGAATTAATATGGTGTAATTTTTTTTGCGAATTTCGGGCGCAAAATTTCACCCCAAAACTGATAATTTTTGGTTTTTTACTCAGTCAAAAATTACGCCAAAACTACCAAGTCTATCACTGACATAATTTATTTCAAAGTGAGCGTCCTACGTAGCCCAACAAGCAGTCTCTCAGTAATCTCCAAAAGATTGCGCAAAACTTTTAAAAAATGTTTTTGAATAAAAAAAGGAGAAACGACCTTTTTGGTCTATCAAACAAAAATTAAATATTTTATGCGATGTTTTGGAGATTATGCCCTTCTTAAACTTTGTTGGGCAACGTAGGAGGCTCACTTTGATATAATTATGTCAGTGATCGAATCAATCTTTTGTTTCGATTGATTGGTCAATCTTTTGAGCAGTTGGTCAATCTTTTGAGCAGTTGGTTTCGAGCAGTTGGTCTATCTTTTGTTTCGAGTTGGTCATAGCCACCGAAATGCTTTTTGCTCGTTATTAGGTTAACTGTATATATCAGACCCGTCTCCATGTTACCCTTTTGACGAACTCTTCGAAAGAACGGTCAGGCAGCAGTCACAAAAATGATTCTTTTTAGTCAATGGAACAAACTACGTCGCAAAGTTGGGTTTGATTTTTTTCGCGCATGCGGGTGCAAGCTTTGTCAAATAGGAGAAAAGAAGTTTTCCCATAATTACACAAGCAAAGCTTGTGTTATAGTATTAACTTTCTTTTTTTTTCCAACCTAAGTCGCAAATATTGGTGCCACTTTTGGGGATTTTTTACAGCTTTTTGATAGCATTTGCTTTGACATTCGAATAGTAATAAATTAACACAGTTGATGCATTTTCAAGAGTAATGAACGTCAGTGAAGACTCTTATATAGGTCTTGCTGATTTTTTTTTCAGGAATAATCTCTTATAACTACAGATGTGAATTCATACATATTGATGCATTTATGTATGCACTTAGGTATATATGCATTTTTTGAGTTCAATTGAAATTCATCAGCTAAAAGTGACGTAAATAGCACTCTACAAATACGAATGTGGAAATGGCGCGAGAAAACGTGAACGAGTTCTAGTTTCGAAAGTGGAATTTATTTTAAAGGTAATTCAGCGGAATGAAAGTTTTACATATTGATCCAGTTTTCTCAAGTTGGGTTCATTTTATCAAAAAAGCGCCAATCATAAATTGTTCTAGAAATTCAAAAAGCTTAAATGTCATCTTTTTTTCTTTGAAATTCGAATGTTGAGATTTTTTCAAGACGGTTAAGGTTTTTTCTTCATGTTTACTTGCGTTCATTACTCTTTTCCAATCTTCGATTGCCTCTGTTTAATTCATCAATTGAACCGAAAAAAAAGCTATTTGTTTCAAACGATATCACAGTAATAAAAATATCGATTTCAAAAATTTTCTAACTTAATATATCTCGCAGCTTTTTTAAATGCATAATTTATACAATGTGGTCTTATGCTTTGCGATTTGTTGCATGCAAAGTTAATGTGGATGGCTTCAGCTTGCTACATTCCAAATTAATACTCGCAAAATTGAGTTAATTTGTATTTGGTTCCTCTTTTGCTGACTCATTGACAATTTATTAGCATATGTAGCTGCTTTAATCGTGACTTGTGTTTCTCTAATGTTAAGCTTGCGTGGCTGAGAGGATAGTGTGTGAGACTCAAAATCTCTCGATTGCAGTAGGTCGCAGATTTTAAACCTACGCGTATCCGAGTTTTTGCTAATTCGAGGCTTATTTCTACTTTTTAATATTTCACTTGATAGAGCTGTTTTTTGATCGTGTTCTCGCCAGCAAGTGTTTGAGAAGCGCTGCTTCGCCTCTGCTTTAAACTCATTTTTGCTTTGCTTAAAATAATTCGATTGCTCTTTGCTGAAGATATTAGAACTGGAAGTTTAGGAAATATACTTTTTAGTTTCTTATTTTTTTTTTCAATCTTTGTCAAATTATTCTTTGCTTCTGCTATCATAACTGGTTACCTGTTTTTAAGTATTACTGAAATTATTGAAAACTTTTTTTACATAGGTCCCACGGTCTTTAAAATTGTTCACGTTCAATTTTGATTTGTCGCTCTTTCACTTTTAATTTATCAAGTTCAGTTTAAATTCATATAATTAAAGTAAGGTAAATAATACGCTCCATTTTTGAAATTGCAAATGGCGTGAGAAAATGTGAATTATTCTGAAAATAGACTTTGGTTTTTAGATTTCCTATTGGAATAAAAAAAGTTCGATATTGATCTAGTCTCTCGAATTGGGTTATTAAAATATCTTCAATCATAAAAGATTCTTGAAATTGAAAGAGCTTTAAGATCATTTTTATACTGTTGAAAGTGTTTCGATGAAAAATACTGAATATTTTCGGTTTTCTTGTTCATTCACACTTGTTCAAGTGTCTGTTGATTATTTTGTTGGATTCGATTGACATTGTATACACGACTTGTTGGTGTGGTAGAAATGTTTTGTATTTTTTTTCGGTTTGGTTTTGTCGTGCTAAATGATTTGTGTTTGTTCTGCGTAATAATTCTGAGGGAAGATTCTATTGGTTTAGCTGCCTCTTTTGACGAGGTTTATAGTAGTAATACCCAACTGCCTCTCAGAGTGTTTTCTTAAGCTAGTCGCAAACTTTTACTTGGCCTGTTTAAGTGGTAATGGAGAAAAAGATTTGTCATTTATTGGTGATTTGTTATATTTCAATAAAAAGTCTTTAAAAATTTTCTAATCTCAATTCAGAGTCATTTGATAAAAACAAAGGTAAATTACTCCACTAACAAAAGTGCACATGGCAAAAAAAAATTGCATTGTTCCTAATTCAAAAATTGCAAAAGTTTTTTTCGAATTCCCTGAGGCATAACATTTAACTTACTGTGTGACCGCCAATTTTCTCGGACCGAGTTAACTATAGGAAAAAGTTTCAATCGTAACCATTCTTGATTTTTCAGATATTTGCGTGATGTTTTTGTTCAAAAGAGTCATGAACTTAGTGAATAATCTGATATAGGCGTTGGTGATTTTTTTTAGTTAGTCTTAATTTTTTTTCACACTTAAATTTGATTTTTTGTGCTATGTTGTTTCAAGTTCCATTAATTTCTTGCATTAAAAGATCAGGGTATTTACCTATTGATCCAGTTTTCTCAAATTTATTTATTCTTATAAAAAAAAGTATTTATCAAAAATTGTTCTTGAAGTTCAAAAAGCTTTAAGGCCATATATTTTTCTTTTTCAATTACAAAAACATGTTTTTTTTCTGTTTCTTTGCGGTCATGGCTCAAAACTTCTCGAAAAAGACCTTACCGATCTTGAAAAAAGTAGTACCACTGGACATACCGGCTGCTTGCGTACGTGCCTGCGTTTTCCGATAGTCTCTTTTTAGCTCACCCACGTTCTACGACCTTCAAAATATCAGTGGGGGAATTTTCGACCCCGCGGAAATAAAAACGTTACCTTCAAAGAACATTAAGATCTGAATTTTTTTTTGCTTGGAAGTTCCAAAGTAGAAATTTTTGTTACTAAGTTTTTTTTGTTTTCTTGCGTTTATTGACAGTTTTCCAACTGTCTCTTGGTTATGTTTTTGAAGTATTTGAGTCGCTGTCAAAAAAAAATAGTTTTAGGTGCAGATGGGCGTTCTGACTGTGTTACAGGCTAGTGATTTGGAAACCAACTTGAAAAAGTTTGAAGCTATTACTTGATTTGACGTTTTGTTTTCTTTTTCTTGAACCTACTCTTATAAATCTGAGACTAAGGGCTCAATCGAAAGAAAATGATGTGCGGATCCGCCGTGTTGAAAGTGTTTAACATAAGTGTATTTCAGAAAAAAAGTATGGCATCAAAAACACCATCTTATGACATTTTGGTCTTTGGTGAGACTTGACTATTCTCGAAAACTACCCTTACAAATCTAAGATAAAAGGTTCTATCCAAAGAACTGCTTGTAGGGCTTTTTTGACTCTTTTATAAGAATCATGATCATTTTTCAGGAAAATCTTAAATTGTTTAAGCTTATATTTGATTCTTCGCGGTTTGACTTTAGAGTTTTTTTAGATTCTGTTCATTTCTTTTGTTAAAAAGAAGGCAAACTCCACTATCGAACAGCGAAAGTGTAAAGATCATCAAAAGCGTGGTCAATTTCTTGTTTCGAAAGTGGATTTGAATTTTAGATTTCCCAGCAGAATAAAAACGTTACCTATTGATCAAGTTGTCAAATTAAATAAGTTTTTTTTAAAGAGTCAATCTTCAATTGTTTTCGAAATTCAAAGAGCATTAAAGCCTGAATTTTATTACTTGGAAATTTCAAATTTGAAATTGTTAAACAAAACAGGTCAGTTTTTTTCTGCTTCCTTTCGTTCAGTGACTCTTTTCCAAATGTCTGCTGGTTATGAATTTGAAGTATCCCAGTAGTTTTCGAAAAAAAAAATAGTTTTGTTACAGATGGTCGTTCTGGCTGTGTTACAGGCTAGGGTTTTGGAAGCCAACTTTAAAAAATATGAAGTTGTCACATAGTTTGATCCTATGGCCAGGTATTCAATGAATGTATAGCTCCTTCGTCTTCATGTGACAATGAAGATGTTCGTGCTTCCAAATTGAATTGAGAAAGTCTAATGAAAATGGCGAAGCGGGCACTTTATGGAAATTTTGCTTCAACACACCGGGGAAATTAACTTCAGATGATTGCAATTAAAGGAAAAGCCATTGTATTCTCAAACAGATGATAAGACTAACTTTTCGATGATTTTAAAAAGGCTTTCATATTTCCATGTATTATTGGTTTTTGTTTTTTGTAGCGCGCCTTCATGTAAAAATTGAGAGGCTTTTCCGATTCAACTAAATGAAGGAAATGCTCGAAGACTGTGATTATATTCGAGCGAATCAACCCTTGGTTTAGCTTTGTTTATAGAACTCCATAGAATTTGTGTTCAACACATCTGTTTTTTGTTGTTCTTTTCTTGGCTTGAAAAATTGAGTCGTATTCAAGTAATAGGCATCCACCAATATCTTCCAGCTCTGTGAATATTTATTTTTCTAAATAGGATTTGAGGATTTTCATTAGAAGTTTTATTTGAGTTAATCAGTACTGCAAATATAGGAAAGATTCAATGCAATTAATCATGAATTGCAGTCTTCAGAGTAATTTGAAAGTCAATTATTTTGTTTCTCTGTAAGGAATTGATTGGGCTAATCTTCAAAAAATTTTAGCTATACAATTTCAAATGTCTGTAGATAGTTTAAGAAGAATGGCCTTATCAATTTCTTACGTAGAAACACAATCATTGACTTTCAAATGACTGTTAAAATGAGACTGCAATTCATGTGTAATTACATTAAATCTGTCCTATATTTACAGTAATGACTAACTCAGATAAGAGTCAAAGGGTCAAAAGACAATTCAATATAAATAGATAAAAATTTTTGAAGATATTGTTTTTTGAGCTTTAAAATATGGTGTTTTCTTTCTCAAAAATCAAAACTAAAAGTATATATTTGTGTCCCTTATGTTTAGGGGGAGACAAGAACAGTCTGCAGGCACAAGACACCAGTCCCACGAAGAGTGTGGCCAATGCCTCCTCCCCCTCAGTGGGGGACCACAACCAGCACCACCCTCAACCTCACTCCTCCCCCCTTCCTCCTCATTTGGACCAACAGCAGCAGCAGCAGCAGCAGCAGTACCATCACTCCCAGAACAACAACATTGCCGCGGCCGCTCTTCCCCAGCAGGTAGGTAGAACAACAACACAACACAAAAACAACATCTCTCTCTGAGCCACTCACCCCTGCTCAAAAACAACAGATTCAACATAATCTCTTCCTCGTCTGTTCCTGAAATATAGACAAATCTGCATGTGCTATTGCACTCATGCGCGCGCAATTGACATTTAATCGGGAACTAGGCTTTCCCCTAAACAACTTTTTCGACAAATCTGTGAGAAATTGAATTTATTTACTATTTAACCTCAACTATTTCAAGCTCCTTCCCATTTGGTCTAGAATTAACGCGGTTGGCTATGAACGCTAAGGTCTGTTTTTTTAAGAGTCGATGAACGTAGTTCACACTCTTATATAGGTCGTGATCATTTTTTTCCACAAAAGTCTTTCAGGCTCATATTTACTTAGCGGATTGCCCTTTGATTACATTTGCCTAAAATTTATTTATGAAATCATAAAACATTCAAGATGGAACTTTCAATTGGACTTTGGAATGTGGTATCCGAGAGTTTTTTTTTAATTCACTTCATTTTTTCTCTCATAACCAACTCAATTGATATCAATTCATTTCATGAATTCAAATATAAAAATTGCTATTTTTTTCTTGAAAAACACGACAATCGAGAGGTTTACACGTTTTTTTTTTCGTGAAAAGACAAAGACAAGCATCCTGACACTCATATGGGATGATTTTGAAAAGCTGTGGCTGAAAATATAAAATCTCACTGGCCTTAACTTTTTGCCACATATGTTCGACTAAAGCACATTTATCCACATAACATATGTGGAAATCCGATTGCTTGAAAATGTAGACATTTCCTATTCAATCAATTCTGTTATTCTCGATTTGTTCAAACCAATTCAATCTATTTTAAATTGATTGTCATTTTATCAGGTCGGTCATCACCCTCCGACCACGCCCGGGTCCATGCACAAAGATTACGGATCACAACAGCAGCAGCAGTACCAGGGCAGCCAGCCACTTCCACCGAACAACACAAGCCAGTCAGTCGGAGGAGGGGGAGGAGGAGGGGGTCCCGGAGGAGGCGCCTCCGCCTACAACCTTGCTCAACATCATCACTCTGCTTCCAATGTGTCACAACACGCGGCCACCGGAAACGCCCCATCCAACCAAGGTCTGTGGGTGTTGACAGAAACAACAGCTTTGTTAAATCGAATTCTTACTAGAGGCGTGGTGCAAGCCACTTTGGCAAAGACAGATTTATTAGTTGGTGAAGTTTGTATTTTGATGAGCTTCAATGATGATAAGTAGATGATATCTGCTGTTTTGTGTCCAGGTGGGGAAAGTACTCATTCAGATTCCACTCACACCGTCCACTACTCTGCTCAAAGAACCCCCACCAACACGCCAGGTCCCCACCAGTATCCTCCCCCCTCACAACAGCAGCAGCACTTGTTGGGCGACATGGAGGGGGCACACATGGATTATCCGCCGGCAAGGCCCCAGACTGCTGCCGCCATGCACAGTGATATGTTCACGTCTGCTCACAAACACGTGGACTCCTCCACGTCTGTCACTCCTCCGACCTCCCTCTTCGGTCAGCATGTTGTGGCGGAGAGTGCTGGCTACAGCCATGGCCCCAATATTCCACCGCCGCCGCCCGGGATGCACAACCCAGACATCATGCAACAGCATATTCATTCGAACATGGATCCAAACAAAATGGTGAGTCAGAGGAAATGCAAATAGGATGAAGCAGTCAGAAGTTCAAGAGAAATAGCTGCATTTTCTGTTGGTTTATGCTTCGGCTGGCTCATTCACATTCTCTAGAGCTATAGACCGATAAAATGGCGGTACTTGGAGTTTAAATTTAAACATTGCGTCGGAACGTCTGATCATTTTCCGCTTTAAACAACTGTTGCACCTTGCTTTTCAGGGCTACAACTCGCTTCCGCCATACGCAGCGGCCCAACACGGTGCTTTCAACTATGCTTCATACAACCCAGCCCCAGGCCACCCTGTGCCACCATCTCACCACCCCACCCATCAATCCCTGCCCCCATCTTCACACTACCCCAGCACACTACCGGGCGGCTTCAAGAGCCACTACGGAAGCCCCCCTCATCAACCAGTGTCCATGTACAGTGCCACTGCACAACAACTGGAGCACGAGATCTCAGGACTCATTCGCTCGGCGCATACAAGGTCGCAGCACTCCTCGGGCACTTCGGATACGACTCAGATGTTCACAGGCGCCTCAGGGAGCACCGGGGCGGCCGCCGCCTCGAATGTGCCCACCAATCTATCAAGCTCGGCCTATCATCAGGTGAGAATGAATTGAGATACACTGATGGTTTGCGTTGTGCACTTGTCCTAACCGGCCCTCCTAGACTCTTTCGTTGGGTACCGTAATTTGCACATTAACAATTAATCTAACTTAAGCATGCGTGTTTTTATTTTTTAAATCTATTTGTTATCATTTGCGTGGGCATTCAGACTGAATTGATGAATATTGAACTTAACTGCACAAGAAGCAGCGTTTAATTAATTCTCGCGTTGTAATGTTTTTTGTTGCCCATAAAGACCCTTATGTTGGTCTTAGAGCGCATGTTTGGTTGGTGGTCTGTGAAAGTTCATTTGGAGTCTCGTTGTGCTGCCTCATTTAGAAGGATAGCAATTTCCTCTTTTGCCCCGTGGCAAGACACTGTCAAAATCAACAACAACAACAAACGAGCCCCTCTTACTTGTCCACGTCTATTGCTCGTCCCCTCCCTTCTAAAAGCCCAATCCCAATATTAGCCGTAGCAGACTCAATGCAAACTTATCCGCCGCGTGGTTCGCGCCAATTATGGAGTCTCAACAGTCTAATAATTCCCAGCTAACTTTGTCCTTAATAGAAGAAGCAGAACGTACCCAATTACTTGAAGAACCAATTAGGAATCCACAGCCAGGGTTTCAAATAGCACCAAAAATGGACCAATTTTTGCAGCATTTTCCCATTTTGACGAAGTCATTATTTGAAGTAACAGGGGTTCCAAAAGAGAGCCCGGCCGAGATTTACCCCCTCACTCTTCCCGCTCATATTCCGGTGGGTGGTTTGGGTTTTTCTCATTCAACGCCAACTCATTCAACCGCCCTGCTATCGGCATTGGGTGCAGAAAAGAGCAGACACTTGCCTCTTTTGGTTAGTACTGGTAATGAAGCTAATCCAAGTCTTTTATGTCCGATATCCCATCAAACTATTCCCTCTCCCTCTGTTTGTGGATAACAATCCGCCCGCCGGCTTTCTCTCTCCCTCTTCTTCTCTGTTTTCACAGCTTGCCCCTCAGCGCTAGCTCACTAAGCATGCACCATTTAGACTGTTCTCATAATTTATGTACCCTGTAAGGGTGCCGCTGTAATTGAACAGTATCCCCGTGAACACGTTTGTAACCTTAATCAGCTCTAACTAGTCGCCCTGTTTATATAAAGACCTCTTTTTATTTGGGGCTGTATTGTGTTTTGAGGCGAATGCATATCGGCCCCTTCTTTTGCCTCAGCACTGGGAAAAGTA